TACCGGAAAAAAAAAAAAAAAAAAAGACACATCCGTGGTGCCTGAGGAGTCCAGTAAGAGTGACGGACACTTAACACGGCGTGCTGTGTGCTGACGCAGAGACGCATGGGACTGAGAGGGTACAGCGGAGGAGGACCCTAAATAGCTTGGGGGTCAGGGGGCTTCCCAGTGGAGTGGCAACAGGGCTGGGCCAGCTGGGGAAAGTGGAGAAGGTGTGCCAGGCAGAGGGAACAGTGCATGCAAAGGCAGGGAGCACACGGCACTTTCGGGCAACGACTCCGCGTCCCACATGGCTTGAGAGGTTGGGACAAACCAGGGAGAGGCAAGAGATGAAGTTGGGGGCTTCCCTGGTGGCGCAGTGCTTGAGAGTCCGCCTGCCGATGCAGGAGACGCGGGTTCGTGCCCCGTTTCGGGAAGATCCCACATGCCGCGGAGCGGCTGGGCCCGTGAGCCATGGCCGCTGAGCCTGCGCGTCCGGAGCCTGTGCTCCGCAAATGGGAGAGGCCACGACAGTGAGAGGCCCGCATAACGCAAGAAAAAAAAAAAAAAAAAAAAAAGAGATGAAGTTGGAGGGTCAGCCCACCTGGGGCCAGCTCCGGAGGGGCCTTGGATGTCTTGCCAAGGGCTTGACCTTACAGGAAATGGGGAGAGAGTGAAGGGGTAGGGGCAGGAAGAAAGGACCCCCGTCCACAGAGACTCTGTTGTGGGAAGAAGACACCTCCCTCCTCGTATTTATCAATGACTGGAAAGTACAGGAGGGCAGATTTTGACTCAAGGCAAAATGAACTTTCACCCGGTAATCCTTCTACTTTGCGAGTTGTACCCTTTCTTCCTAAATCCGCCAGCATGGTGAGGTTGCTGAGATTCAGAGAGGCTGTGTACACTGCCAAGGTCACACAGCTAAGTAAGCAGTAGGATGAAAACCAAGCTCTCGATCTCAACCACAGCACTGGGCCTCCTCCCCCAAGGCTACCAATGCTGAACAACCTGTAACGGCACAGCCTTCGGAGGTAATGAGCTCTCTGCCATCAGAGGTGGTCAAGCCTAGCCCACAGAGCCATCTATTAGAGATGATGGAGAGGGATTATCCTTCGCAGTTCTTAGGGTTTGTCCATTCCATCCCCTCCTCAAACGTCCTTCCTCCTACCTCATTGCATGGTGACTTTCTATTCATGGATCAACTTGGAGAATGAGTTAGTCTGTGTATTCCTTTATGCTTGCTCCTTTAGAACTGTGGCCAAGACCTACACTTTAATTTATAAACTGGCCTATAGGAGGCACTGAACACACTCTTGCTGAGGGGATGAAAGAATGAGTTCCATGGATCCATGGGCAAGTCTGCCACCAAAGGAAACAAGCCCTCAATTCTTCAAATTGTCTATTTAATCACCACTGCTTTGAGCCAGCTCATGGATGGCAAATGGCTCTTGTTGTGCATGCCAACACCAGTCAACTGGCAGTGGCTGCTTGAGAATGACTCTGGAGTCACTAAGTAGGAAGAGCTCAGGGATTGATTAGTGATGTCTGCCATGGATGACGGACAGGAAGTATCGGCAAGCATGATCTTCTCCTGTTCACCAGCCACTGGCATAAAGAAACATCCTTCATTACGTTTCTTAAGACCAGAGACATCCGCATTTTCCATGATCCCACAGGCCTAATACTGAAAAGAGCATCTAATATGCGCCAGGCTCTAGACTAAGTACTTATCCTTAACTCATTTAATCCAATTCTATGAGAGGAAGTGTTGTTGTTATGTCCATTTTACTCATAAGGAAGATGAGGCACAGTGAGGTTAAATAACTGGCCAGGGTCCCACGGGTTCTAAGTGGCTAAGCAGAGTGCTAGGCCTAGGCAGTCTAATTCCACAGTCTATCTTTACTGCAGCCTGACTGCTCTCACCTGGCCCTGCCGGGTGCCATGAAGACTCTGACTGCATGACCTGAGAGACAGGGTGATCACAGTTACCCACCCAGCCCCCGGCAGGTACACTCGAAGTGCAGCCACTACTGGGCAGACCCATCTGCCTGCCTGTGTCCTGCACTGGGGTGTGGCAGGTCCCTCTTGGGGATGTAGGGGTATCACAAGCCAAGATGGAATGAGAAGGAAGCACCTGGAATAGACTCTCTGCCCAGGACCTCCTCGGGGACACAGTGGAAAAAGCACCCTCTGAGGAAGAAAACTGGGTGCAAAGCCCAGCTCTGCCACGTGTCAGGTGCGGGACCCCAGACAACTCATCCAGGGCCTCCAGTGCTCAGATGCTTTAGCTACAAAAGGGGCTCACCACCACCTCTTAAAAGGATGTTGCTGGGCTTCCCTGGTGGCGCAGTGGTTGGGAGTCCGCCTGCCGATGTAGGGGACACGGGTTCATGCCCCGGTCCGGGAAGATCCCACATGCCGCGGAGCGGCTGGGCCCGTGAGCCATGGCCACTGAGCCTGCGCGTCCGGAGCCTGTGCTCCGCAACGCAACGGGAGAGGCCACAACAGTGAGAGGCCCGCGCACCGCAAAACAAACAAACAAACAAAAAGGATGTTGCCACATGTGTGTCAAGTGCCTGGCACATAAGAAGTGCTTCGTAAATTAGTGATCTTCCTATCTTGGCACCCAGGATGGACAGACAGCAGCCTTAACACACGGGGGTCACCGCCACCCGATGGCTGGCTCCTCTACAACTGTTTATAATGCAGGCATAGAGCGGGAGGGCCGATAAAGTACCCCAGATTCCCAGCTTGGGTGGCAAGTACGTTTTTCTTTCTTTTTTTCTTTTTTTTCCTGACTGTTGTCTGAAGGTGACTGACAGCAATGGCTAAATTAATCCATCAGAAATATCTTTTCTCTTAACATAAAGAAAAAAGACAGTGAAATGTGCACAGGTGGCAAAGGCTGAGGCTCAAATCACAGTTCTGCCACCCACTGCTGTGTGTCCTTGGTTAAGCCCCTTACCCTCTCTGGGCTCAGTCTCCTTCTCTGTAAAATGTGGGGACAAGACTGCTAACCATGGTCCCTGTCCTGTTTACTCCGTGGCACTTGCCAGAGGCCAGATGTATTGAGGTTTTCCGAACTGAGTGAAGCTCTAGGCTCTGTGTTCAGAGGAAGACTTGGTACAGTGGGGCCAGGGAAGAAATTAAGCACAGTCCTCTCTGGGGGAAAAAAAAATGAAGTAGAATATAAACCTCAGAGCCTTCCTTAAGCTTCAGGCAGCCAGAGATAAGACAAGTGGCTTAGCGAATTAAAAAATGGAGCAAATTCCATTCATTAGGCTCATTTTAAAGGCTTATCTGGGTGGTCATGGGAGCGTTAAGTCAGGGCATTTGAAGCTGTTTCCAGGGCAAGATTTAGAAAGCCTGCAAATAATTCCCGAGGAACATTATTCATAATGCCAGGATTATACCCTTTGCCTGAGGCAGCCATGTCCACACTCACAGCTGAAACAAGGTACAGTTTCTCTCCTCAGGCTTGGTTCAGGCTGAGCCCACACCAGCGTGTGCCCTTCTGAGCACACAGCCCAGCCAGCTGGCCCATGGGGAGGGAGAGGGGAGGGGGAGGGGAGGGAGAGGGCAGGGAGAGGGGAGGGAGGGGGCTGGACTGCAGGAAACTACTGAAGAGTCACAGAGCCCCACAGAGGTGCTCCACAAGGAGCAAATCGTGCGGCCCTGCCCAGCAGACCAGCCCGGGGTTCCTAACAATGGCTCAAGCTTCATACTGGCCAGCCCAGTTGGGATCTGGGAGCCTTCTGTCTCAGGGATAGCCCTCTGCCCCGGGTCAGGTCCATCACACGCTTTCTGAGCGTGGACCCTGGCCGTTCCAAGCTGGCCCAGAGACCCTGATCACACTGGCCCCACCCCGTCATCCATCCCAGCAAAAGCCCTGGCGCCCAGGGAACCAGGCCAAGCCTGGGAGAGAAGTCCAGTGTCCACGCCAAGGGAGAGGGAAACGATGGGGCTGGTCCTACCTACCCAGTCCTGTCACCTTCCGCAGGCAGGTGAGGGCGTACTGCAGGCGGCCACACTCCTCGGCACTGGCCCCGCAGCGCCGCAGCGTCTCCTTCACCTTAGCCTCGTTCATGTCCAGCAGGGCATCCAGCGTGAGCTCGCAGAGGATCTCCTGAGGAGGCACAGGACAGGCGGAGAGCCGGCTGAGCAGTCACCCTCCTCCCAGCCGGGACCAGCCTCCCGCTGAGTGGCAGGGGCCAGCTGCTGGCGGGCTGGCCTCTGACCTGGAGCCGCCACTTGTCTGAGGACACCAGCAGTCAACCCTGGCCCCTGCCCCCAGCGCTCTGAGACAGCAGCTGAAGCAGAGATGCCAAAACTTGGGGTTGGGGGGAAAGGAAGGAAAATACCAGAAAAGTTCTGATAAGAGCGTGTTCCCTTCTCGTCTCTTTTTATTTAGTCTTCTCCACAGGAGAATGATGAATCACCACGACTTCAGATAAAGATAGCCCTTTACAATTTTGCTGTCTCTGAATCAGACAAAATAGGTTTCAAATAAAATTGGCTTATGGAGAGAAGGATTACAAAGAATTAACCCTCGCCAAGCACTGTGTAGGTCCTTACTGCCCGGCTTTATCTGATTCTCAGTCTCACCCTTCCAAGGTTTCAAGGTAGCGGACATAAGTGAGATGCCCGAAGGATGGAAAGACTGGTGCAGACTCTGAGGATGGAGGGGCCACACAGAAGGAACGAGGTGGCCTCGAGGAGACAGAGTGGCCCCTGGCTGACCAGCAAGAAGGGAACCTCAGGCCTGAGGCCACAAGGAAGTGGATTCTGCCAAAGACCTGAACGCACTTGGATGTGAGTTCTTCCCAAAGCTTCCAGGTAAGAGGCCAGCCTAGCTGACACCCCGACTTTGGCCGGGCAGGTCGCTAAGCAGGGAAGCTGGACGAGCCCGTGGGGACCTCTCCATCCAGGCTTCTTCCTGCAGGACTGTGAGCTAACATATGAGGGATGGTTTAAGCAGCTAAGTTCGTGGTAATTTGTTATACAGCAAAGAAAATGAATATAGAGAGCGAATATTTGAATCAAGGCCTAACTCCAAAGCTCTTTCCTCTCATCAAGGAGTGGGGAAACCCCTCCGGCTCTGATTACTTTGAGCCACATGTGATACGGAGCCTGGAGCTCAGAACAATGGGACACGTCCCTAGCCTCAAGTGGCTTGTGGAGTGACTGACATGAAAATAAGTTATTGCAATGCAATAAGATATGGCCGAGCAGAGGGAAAGCTCAAAGAGCTATGGGACCAGTGGTGAGCTTGCGGAGGGAGGGGGTGCGGGGTGTGTGGGTGTTGTCCCCTTTCTGGAGTTTCCAGATTTTCTATAACGGGGAAGGCCAAACATCCCACATCAAATGTTTCATATAAGCTTGCAGTTTTTGATCTAAGCTGATTAGCAAGCTGTGCCTAATTTTACGAGAGCAATGTTATGGTCAGTCAATCCATGGTGCTATAAATCTTAAACTCAAGTGTCAAAACTGAACCTGATAAAGATACCGGCTATGAGTCATTAGGGCAATGGTTTGGGGGCTCTGTGATGCGTGGGGGGTGGGGCCACATCTGAGGCCTGGCATGTGGCCCCTGGTGTCTGGCCGTGTCCCCTCTCCCCACCTTTGTGTCTTGTATGTATATTCTTCAATCTCCAGGGCTGTGGGAAAGAATCTCATGGCTGTTTAGAATGACTCACACCAAAAATTAGAAATAAACAGATACCCCAAAGAACCAAGAAGCTCATCATTTGGTTTGGACAAACCCCTGGTTGTCAGAAATCCTTCCAGATGATAAAATGAGAACGGGAAACCGTGGATAAGAACAGCACACGGAGCAGGCTGATTAGATAATGGTCCCAGGGCAGAAGCTTTTGTTCAATCAATGTGTCTTCCTCTATTGTCTTCAATAACACTCTTCACTGAAATGCAATTTTGACATCTTTTGCCCTCATTTCTCTATGAAAAGCTATTTGGCAATATTGTCAGGGGAGAGCAAATGGAAGTGATGTTGACCTGCACAAAACAACACTCCACCTTTCCCTCGGGTGCCCTCAGTGCTCACCCACACATGCGCATTTCCCCAAGGCTGTGATGACTCAGCAGTTCTACGGAAAGTGGAGATTCCAGTATCTCAGTAGCTGCTTGATTTGGGGATGGAGGTGGATTGATGATGACGAAGACAAGCCTAGGAACCCAATCCCCAATCTAACTACAATGCAAATTCAGATTTTTTTTTTTCTTTTATATTCCTTTCCTCCCTGCCCACACCAAGTTTCAGTTTCTCAAGCATAATAACTACATTTATTATTACAAACTATTTGCTAGTGCTTTACAATACGTTCAGGGCTTTGTATACTGTCTCCACTCAAAGCAATTCAGCAAGGAGATGCTGTTAAGCCCATTTTATTGAGGCTCGGTGACCTCACGCAGTGCAGCTTAATAAATGGCGAGGCCACAACTGAAACCCCAGTGTGCTGGGTCCCAAAGCTCCTTCAACTATTCCCCACTGTCACTCGTGAACTTGGGCAAAGCCTTGGGATGCAGCAGCTATCTTGGGGAAAATGATTTTTTTCAAAGTAAAGGAATTAATTTCTACCTGCTTTCTGGAAAAACATATATATATACATATACATACACATATACTGTAAAATGGAAGTCCTTTGTCTTTAGCAAGCAAAGAGAGAATATGTTCAAATCCATTCCCTTTTTTAAAAAAGGGGGGAAAAAGGTATTTCCTTACAGCTTCGAATGAGCTGGAAAGTTTCTCTCACTCCCCTGAGACTTCAGGGCTCAGTCCACCCCATGGGAATAAGGCAGCAGGGGCTGCTTTCCCTTCCCTCCTGTGTACTCCACCAAACCTCACACATGGATGCGATTCTCCCCCTCACAGCCACAGGCACAGCCAAGTCGCAGTTAGGAAGTTATTTCAGACGAGAGTAATTCAGGTACAATTGTTCTGGATAATCTCTAAACCGAAAGCAAGTTAGGGGGACTTCCCTGGTAGTCCAGTGGTAAAGAATCCACCTTCCAATGCAGGGTACGCGGGTTCGATCCCTGGTCGGGAACTAAGATCCCACATGCCTCAGGGCAACTAAGCCCACGCGCCACAACTACTGAGCCCGAGCACCTCAACGAGAGCCCAGGTGCCGCAAACTACAGAGCCCATGTGCCCTGGAGCCCACGGGCCACAACTAGAGAAGAGAAAACCTGCATGCCACTAGAGAGAAGCCCATACACCCCAACGAGCGCTGCCATAAAGATCCCACATGCCGCAAGGAAGCTCAGACGCAGCCAAATAAATAGATTTTTTTTTTGAAAAGAAAGCAAATTAGGGAATGAGCCTCAACGCCTGCTGACAGTGAACTCACGGGCCTGTCGACAGCCCAGCAGGCGAAGGCGCCCTGAAATGCTCTCAGGTCTGAGAGGCCCCAAGGCTGTGGAGGGCCTCCACCTGCCTGGAGTCACACGAAGATGCCAAGTTGTCTCAAAGCCAGGCGTCCAGACCCTGGCGTTCTGGAGAAGGGACCAAGGCTGAGTGTCCACACTGCTTCAAGGAGAATTATTGCCCACCCCACCACAGCTTCTGTCTAAAGAAGAAAATGTGAACTGGAAACCACGAAGGGAAGACATGGCTGCCCAGCCTGCTACGGGAGTTGCTCTGGGTCCACCCAGCCTCGGGTCAGCATGTGAGCGCAGAGGTGGGCAGAGGGGCCACAGGACAGGGCACACTGGCTCCCCGCCTCTGCCCGTTCCCTCGAGCCACGACTTATGTCTCCGGCAGGTGACATTATGTTATTCTTTCTGATAATAATTAGAGGGCAGGACCAGTGGAGCATGGAGATGACTCCCAATCTGTGATCACGAAACTGCTGCTTCTGTTCTCTGCAGCAGAAGGTGGGGACGGGCTGGGCCAAACACGCTGCGCCTTAGCCCACCCATCCCAGCTGCTGACGGCAACTGGCGTCACAGGCCAGGTTGGGTATCAAATGGTGTCCCAGGACTTACCAGCAGCCACGGGGCTGCCTGGAGTCTATACTTAGCACCTGTGCCGGCTGACACTGAAGGCCGTCCCCCTAGCCGTGGCCGGTCAGGCGGGCCGTGGAAATGCCATGGGCGTCACAGCCTGTGTGTGTACCGCGTGCCGCAAGAATCTGTGGCAGCTCAGGACGGAACTCGGGTGAAGGCCTGGGCTGAAGGAAGACAGAGACGCAAGCCCATACTTGGTGTCTCCGTCTAGCATTCTGTCTAGTCCTAGAGCACAGCATTGATCAGTCATGGCAGTAACTGTCTCAATCAGTGCGGCAGGCGCGCAAGGTCCATAGGCCGAACCTGGATTTCTGGTGCATGAGCAGAGGTGTCCACCAGCTTCCCTGGCTGGGGCTTAATTCAGGGGCCAGGATCCTTCCCCACAGATGCTTGCCTGGGAACTGGTCCCACCAGAGAGACCAGAGGTGGACCCCCAGAACCGTGTGGATGGTGACATGGGACCCTGGTACCCCTCTGTGGCCAGGGCTCAGTGGGAGAGCTAGGACAGAAGAGGCAGAGGAGCTAGGGGTTCCTATGGCAGCCCAGGCCGGGAGCCCCCATGCCTCCAGCTGGCAAAGGAGAACCTGACGGAGGTTCCTTCCTGCCTTCTCACCACCGCTGGCACTGAAGGAGAGGGAGGGGTGAGACTTGGATAATAATAGTTGGATATTCTGGGAGGTACAGGAGGGGCTAAGGCAGTAGGGGCCTGGGTCAGGCGCCTCCTGGGGTTTCCATGGAGATCAGCGGACAGCTTGGGGATACTGGCTTTGTCTGTGGACCAGTCCTGGACCTAGTCACTATCCCAGCCCTAGAAAATGAGAAAAAGCCCCTCCTGGGAGAAGTCAGCCCCTTCCGGGAGGGCTTCTCTCTACCACCTCCCAGCTAGCTGACCAGTACAGCAAAAGAAGGATCAGATTTGGTCCTTGGAACCCTCTTGACCTTGGGTCAGTTCCTGCCCCTTCACTGGGCTTCAGTTTCATCATTTATAAAATGAGTGGGTTTGGCTAGATCAGATCAGGGGCTCTTGACCCTGGTGGCACCCTGGAATTACCTGGGAGGCTTTAAAAAATGATCCTGATGCCC